AATCACACAGAGAACAGGAGGAGGAGGAGGAGGAGGAGGAGGAGGAGGAGCGACTGTGGCAGATGAATCAGCATCAGACAGACGAGGAGGAAGAGGTGGACACAGTGAACATGGTCAAAACTGCCCTGAACATTACTTCCTTACTCTATACGTATCTATATATAATATATTTCCATATTTTCGGTATATTTTGAGTATTTCTTTAAATGTGGTCACCTTCTGCTGTAACGACAGAGGATTCCTGTGGCTCAGCGGGACGGGAGGTGCTGGGGGGGGGGGGGTCAAACTATATACTGGAACGATGTCTTCACATTTCTAAGAGTTATGTATCTTGCCTATAGGTAAAAGTATGACATTGTATTTTATTTATTTACTGATATCTTGATCTCACTCGAATTTTCACCTTTTCAATCAGAAACCTGAAAAAAAACAAAACACACAGAAAAAAACAAAATCAAACGTGTTCCTGCAGAGATAAATTCAGAGGTATTTTTCTACTGGTCCATCCATGCACTTTGCTGTATAGTTCTATTTATGGAGACTTCTACTTGTACATGTGCTAAAGGCCAATATTAACGGTGTTGCTATGGACTGAACAGAGTGCCTGTGCAGGGAGAGGCTGCTGCTGCTGCTGCTGCCCACACTCACCAGACACTGAAGAGCTTCTTTCCAAAATGGTGTGTATCCATTTTAAAAGACAACCACAAAAAGAACAAGCAAAAAAAAATAACTCAAAACGAGGGCTACGACTAACCATTATTTTCATTTTCATCGATCAAATCTGATGAATATTTTCTTAATTGACAGGCTGCCGTTCTCGTAGCTTCTGTTTTTCTGTGCGATCGAATTCAAGGTTTATTTTGTCTATTTCGTGACTTTCCTCTTTTACTAATAGATAATAAGTTGAAACCTTTTTCATCTTAACACGCAGAAATAACAAAAATCAACCAATGCATTAGCTCACGTCATTTTAACTTGGTATCCTCCAATGCCAATATTCTGTTACATCTAATTATTAAAAAGCTTTTTAGCTTTAATTGCTGACGTCTTATATTAACATATAACGTCTAATAATGACTCTTTGTCCTGCTGTTTTTAAAGCAACGTATTAGCTGCAGCCAATCAAATGAACTCATCTCACTCTGCCAAGCTGCTCGCGTCAAGGTCTGATGGGAAAATGTGTTTGTTG